TTCTAGAATTTTTTCCCTTCTACATTAAACCCAAACAAAAGCTATGCTCAACCGGATGACATAATATTGATAACTATGAAGTGTATCAACTAATTTTATAAATAAGGCTCTTTATGAGGAATAATGCAGGAAAACTCAGCTCGGTTTGACGTGATAGTAACTTTTGGACTTCAACCGAAAAGATACCGAAGTTTTGAACCAGACTGAAAACTTAGTCCGAAAATTCTTTGGCCCAAAATTCTAGTCTCTCCCATCTTTTAATCTATTAGCGTAGTTTAAAGATGTATTAAAATTTCTTGTTTTTTATAATAAAGAAGACGAAGACAACCAATTGTTTAATAAAACAAACGAAATCACACGATTACATAACATTATTTTGAGCATCAAACTCTTTATAATGTGTTTCTGTTCAGCATGTTCCAAACAACAATTTGACTCCTCGACTCTTTTTGTTAGGAATGATTATCAAGAGTACTAAATGATGGCATTTCGTTTATTTTACTGATTGTGATCAATGCATATTTCTTCTTTGTATTTATTGTATTAGTACAAAAGCTAGTAAAAAAAAATCGCCAACATTTTTTTCACAAAGACTATTGTGACGACAAATATATATGTAATTATAGAAAATGTTATTACGATGTAAATGAATGGCCAGACGTCGTCAAATCTAGACTACCATCGAATCCGATTTGGTCGAACTTACTTTCTTAACATTCAAACATGGATACACCTCAATCAATAAAATTTTTAACCTTTATTTATTTGTTGAACCTAAATTTCTTAAAAAACCGTAACGACTATGGTTATCACCAAACTGAGATTCACCATAAAAAACATACACATCTCGTATGTTTTTTTTTTCTATACTTTATAAAAATAAAAATATTAAATTGTAATTTAAATAGATTTTTTCTTCCGTCGGTACAAGCCGAATATAGAAATCAATGAAAAATAACCATCCTACTCATCATGATAATATTTTAGATATTATTGCGAACACTTGTATGCATTCACATAATTGGTTTTTTTAAAAACATATTTTCATGGTATTACATGTAAAAAAAAAACAAATTACGCATAGATGTAGTAGACATTTACGAGAAAAATCTTTCACTTTTCAATTTAAAATTAATTAAATATTGTTTGTTTATTCCTAGAGAGATACTGTATTGACAAGGTCAATGTCTTTGATGCATCATCCATATTTTCGATTTTGTAGATATGTAGTACGAGTGTTAACATGCTGTTCTTGTTGTGTAGATCTGGTTGATTATTGATAATTAAATAATAGGAAGAACAAATTTATCAGAGCTTTCTTTTGACGAGAACGTTATTATTTTTTTCTTCTTCGGTTTATCGATTAAGACATAACTCAGTTGCAATAGATGCAAGACATAATACATAATTTAAAATATTTCATTTCGTTTTGTGTTGTAATGGCTCAACGATGAAAGAAGAGATTTTTTAAAAATTAGTCAATCAATATTGTTACTTTAGCATTGATGATCTGGCAAAAAGTACATATATAAAATGATAAAGATCATTATTGACTTTCATCTATTGATACAGATCAAATGTATAAAAAAGAAAGAAGCAGAGTATGATTAATTTCATTTATTCAATGGTATAAATAAAGTTTCTTTCTTTTGTAGTAAAATAATTCCTTCTCTTCTAGTGAAATGCTTCAATATAAAGACGATGATTATTCTGTTGAATTTGATTAAAGTCAATAATCGATTTATATTTTCTGTGAAAATCATAGTATCAATTGAAAAATAAAATATTTTTTGCATATTCATTATTATACGTTGATAGATTGATTTTGTAATAAATCTAGCATTGGTTAAGATCTTTGTCGAAAATTATTATCAGAAGAAGTCACAAAGAAAGAAATAAACAGTTCTAAAACATTTATTGAATGATGCTAGTGAATTAGAAAATAATTCTTTATTTATTAATTGGTATCAATAATTACGACAGAATCTATCAGAATGTAGATGCAGTTGTGGATACAAGCACACCTTTGTTAATAGCGTTATGCAATTGTAAATTCTGATCGATTGTTTAAATAAGTTCCTTCTATAATACATAGAAATTTTGAATTAGTTTGTAATACATTTGCGTCATGAACTCATTCTCACTTGACTTATTTTTGAATTGGTAGTCAGCAGTTGACGACTGCTGAGTTTATCAATATCGATTCTTCGATTTCTGCTTTCAACGTTTGGAATGATGAGAAACATCTGAAGAGTTTGCTTCAGGTTGACGAAAAAGAGAGTGTGGAGGTGAGTGCTGATGTAAATAAATAGAAGATCAACACCTACAACCACACCCCACAATCTAATTGAAACGGAGTCAACTAGAAAATAAAAAATGACTATCCATCTTGGAGATCAAAATCGATCAACAACTCGATTCTACATGAACGAGATGACATTTTCATAGACTAAAAATGAATAAGCTTTAATATCTTTCTTAGAATATTTATCTTACTTGAAAATAGGCATTGAAATGTTTTTTCATATCAAACTATAATATTATTGATCTGCCTATCCTTTTCATTACAACATAAAATTGTTTTTTTTTGACATTGGTACATTTGAAAAGTTTTTTTTTTCGAAAAATAAAAACAACTTATTTGGACTCAGAAGTATACTTTTTTGTACCTAGCTATTAATCAATATGTTAAAGTTTTACTATTTAGGCACCAAAAGTATAAACAAAAATAACAAAGCTTCATTTTCTTGAGTTTTATCTTAGTATTTTTGAATTACTGTTGAAAATGCTATATCCAATTCAGCTATCTAGATAAAGAAAAGATAATATATGATATATATATCTTAAGGATCACTCACTAGTTAATTATCGAACTGGTCGATGAAGTAGTTGACCCCGAGAAAATCAAATATCTTATGTAGAAACTTGTATAAAAGAAATGATTCGTCGAATGTCATGATATATCATGTGATAAACAGACAAACAAAAAAACAATATTAACATATACATGAATTCTTTCATTAATTGGAATAATAATAGTCTGTATAAATGAGAAGGAAAAAAATAACTGGCATATTTTTCAAGTCTTTTAGGTTTTCTCTTACTAAGGAGGATATGATGCGAATGTTTATCTTGGAATTTTATTCATTTCTCTTAATAGAAATCAATATTTACTAAACAAAGACTTTAGTTTGAAAAATATAGATCTATAACTCATTATTTCTTTTCAAATGTTATCTGAAATAAAAGAATGAGAAGAATAAATACTATGTTCAATAAAGTTATTGCTGTTTCTAAATCATCAGTATCTTCATCACCTTCCGCATTAATGACAGCTTCCTGATGTTGCTGATATTCATTAACAACATCTCTCATGCATATTCGATTTAGCTTCAGAAAATTCTCATTATAAAAAAAATATAGATAAGATATAAAAATGCATAAGAAAATAAAACAAACGATATCATTCATTCTTTCATCGGTATACTAATGAAGGATAGTTTTTCAACGAAATATAACTATTGTATTTACTAAATAAAGATCACAAAAAAAAACAATCAACAAATTAAAAGATTCGTTTTTTGTTAAATAAATAAATGTAGCTAACATTAGCAGTCGATATGATGGAATATATCATACAATTGTTTTTAGATTATCTGGAATCCATTTAGCAAAAACATACAAAAAATTTTTTTTTTCTTTGACATTTAACATTTGTTCTTCAACTTCACGCATTGACATTCGATCACGAAATATAACAGCTGTTGATGACTAATTCAATACAACAAATATATAATCAAATTCATATTAAAAATCTTTTATTTTGTCTTATATAATTCCGATAACGAGGATCACAAGCAGCTATAAGATTTTTTTTTAACATCGAACATTTGTTGTAAAAGTTCAGTTACGAATAGTGTTCGATATGGTTAATTACCACGTGATATTAATAGTACAAAATTAGGGATAAAAAAGCGAATGAGGACGAAGAAAAAGCATCGTGTTAGTCGCTACTGTTTAAAGATCAGCATTTAATAGCCTTATATGAAATGCTTTGCTTTTTATTTTTAAAACAAACTTAAAAAATATAAACAAGTTGTTGCTCCACATAATGTATTTATAGATAAATGATTAAGATCACTATTTTAATGCACGACAACAAATATCATAGGTGTTTCATGAGAATTTTCTAAATATTGATGAGTTGGTAAAACAAAATTTTCCACTCTTCCATATCTTATAAAAAATTTGCTCTTTTCAATGGAATATTCAGTACATGACTCATTAATTAGCTATTTAAACTAATATCTGACAATGTCTACACGCGAGCATAATTTACTAAACGGATAATTATGTTGATATATTTTTCTTATTGGTTTATGCTTTTGTTCTTTTACATGTTAAGTTCTTTGTCAATATTTGATAGAACAGCGGGAATAATATTTTGTTTCCATTTTTGAACGATGCGAGAGACGTTGTTCAAAAAAAAAAAGACAAAGAAATCAATATCATCGTTGTCAAGCGAATAGAAGATCAGTCTTGGGACAGTAAAATTTTTCTTTGTCTGTCGTTTGCTGTTCTTTTTTTTCCTCGATTGTCGACGATGTATCTTGCTGTCTCTTTTCTTTTTGTTGATCGACACACGCATTTTGTTTCTTCTATCCTTCTCTCTTTCGCTTGTGTTTCTTTTAGAGCGTTAGCATGTGTGCTGTCGTGTATTCATACGACTGTATTCTCGCACGCTATTCTTATTCTTATTACACGTAGCGATTGCACGCTTGTAACTCTCGCAAGGTCGAATACACTCGAGTACATACATGAATGAAGATGATTTGATCATTTTCTTTTTCTTCGTCTTCTTCTTCTTCTTTTTTTTTTCATACATTCATGCGTTCACTTAGTTATTCAAAACTTGTACTTCGAAAACTTTTAATGTTCTATTTATCTATTGATTATTGTTGAAGAATTTTTGATTAATTAATGAATTTTTATATATGAATATGTTAGAAAATATTAATTGGAAAATAAATGAAGATGATGAACATCAACAAGGTAAGTCAAAATATAACATAAATATATCTAAATGTATTGATATTATTATAAGAACATAATGTTTCCTAATAATGATCGATCGAATGCCAATGTCTAACTGTGAAAACAAATCATCATAGGAAAGAAGAGAAAGGAAACCTGCATATATATTCATTCATAATAATCACATAAAATTGTTGAGAAGAACAGAAAAACATTCATACATTCTGTAAATAGAATTGACATTATATTAATATTGGATTAACAGCTAGCAGACAGTATTCTTCTGATGCTTATATATATAAAATAAGATTAATGTGTTCGTTGAGCACAGCAATTCTGGATACTAATAGTACTCTTATGAATGATGTAAAATCGTATAGTTTGTGCGTGGTCTCAATTAGGTGTGCATAAAAAAAAAATGTGATCTAACAAATAGTGTGAACTAAAAGAAATGAAAAGGAAATATGAAAAAAAAAAAAAAAAAAAAGAATGAATGATGTAATATCGAACATATTTTATACTTTTAGAAGAGTCATCATCTCGTCATTTACTTATTGCACTTGAAGATTTACTTAAACGAAGTCATAATAGTCCTATACATATATCAAAGATCAAATATCAAAGTAAAAGTGTGGACGATTTACTAATAAATCGACAAAACATATATAAACAAACTTCAACAGTTAATGATAATAATAATAATATTTCAAAAACAATACTACCAGAACTTGATTTATCTGGTATTGGATCTTATGAAGAAAATAATGAATATGATTTAGAAATACAACGAAGTCGATCAGCACCTGTTTCACCAACGAAAATCTATGATAAAGAATTAGCTGCTTTTATTGACTGTGAACAACACCAATCAATTACAGATAGTTTTGTTTATAATATTGATCTATCCGATCAAAACGAAAATATACATCAGCCAAATTCAAGACTAGCTATATTTTTCGTAAGTCTATACTATATAATTATCTATATATTTAAAATTGATTAATATATTCATTTCTCTTGTAGGATGATGATTATTTACCCGAAGAAACAAATTATGAACCCTCGATTAGTCTTATTCATTCTTCTCTTATCAGTAATTGTCTAACAATAACTGAAGAAAATGAAGAAGAACTTGAACAATTAACACGTGATGATGATGAAGAACAACAACAACAACAACAACAAGAAAATCTTATAGAAGAAATTAATGAAAATTCAATATCAATAACTACATTACATAATGATAATAATCAAACTGATACATATGAGAATGATAATCAAATAAATAAAAATGAAACACAAGATATGAATAATCGATCAGTAATTTTTTTAGATAAACGTGAAAATAATGTTGAACGTTTGTCAACTATTTATGAAGCTCCAAGTCCACAACCTGAAATAGAAGACGAACTTAATAATGATACAGATGATAAATTAATTGTTTATGATATTGCAAAAATTGATATATCAACTAAAGTAAATAAATTTCAATATATATGTATAACTATCATTATTTGTTTGTTTTTTTACTTTTAGTCATCTACAATTCATTCAAATCAAGAATTTGATACTTCAAATTCTTTATTCCATCTTTCTCCGGTTGTTGAACGAAATCATATTAATTCATGTTATACAGATGCTTTTTTCAAACCATGTCCTAATTTTACTAATAATCTTTCAGCTTCACGTTTATGTGGAACAACAATAACAACAATGAATACTTCTAAAGTACATAATCCTTCATCTTTATTATTTACTTCATTGTTAACAACAACTAATGATGAAAATTCATGTTCATTACCGGTTATCAATGGTCAAATCATTTCTTCATTACTTTCTCCTAAACAGCAATCATCATCACGATCTTCACCTATGTTATTTTCAACGCCAACTGATGATCAATCAAAATCTATTATGGATAATAATAAACTCTCATCATCACAACATATTAAAATGATGAAAGTAATTCAATCTTCATCATCAAGTTTATCAGATTTTATTTCACCAATACTAAAATCACCATTACAAACTACAAGTAAGTATACATATGTATATGTTGTTTTTTTTTTTTCTTGTCAAAGAATAATATGAATGTTGATTGAAAATATAGTGTTTTTTATTTTCACTACATGGATTAATCAGATTTATGTCTTATTTTCTAATTAATAATTTCTTTTTTAGGTTATCATGATGATATTCTAAATGTTCGTCATTCTCTAACTGATTGTTCATTGATTAATCAAACTTCATCATTAATCAATGAAAATAATTCAACAAAAAATCAAATATTTGATAATCATGAAAGAAAACCATCATCTACTCGACGTATTCTTACAAATGGTCTTTTACTTTCACATTCTTTTAGTAATCCTACTCCTCGTCGTGTACAAGATTCTCTTGTTTCAAATCATAATAATAATAATTATTCAATAAAACAAAAAACTGAAGAAAAACTTTTATCCGATTCATCATCATCATCATCATCATCATCATCATCATCAGAATTACTTTCATTATCAGATGAAAAACTTTTTTCTCGATCTGTTTTTGTTCATCAACAAGAACAAAATATTTCTCAACAACGTAAAGCATCTAGTCTCAAAAGTATTCATATAACAACATCACCACAACCATCATCGAAAATTCTTTATCCAATTGATTTTAATGCTAATAACTTAGATTTATCTTGGCATCAAAAACGATCATCTCATACACATAAAGTACCAACATCTGATTCAGGCATTGTTATTGATACACATCCAACACCGAAATCAAGTAGTGAAGATGTATGCATAGATTTTGATTAATCTCTTTTTTTTTTAAGTATCAATATGAATGAATTGAATGTATTAAATTAAACTAGTGCAATGAAAAAAATAATCTATCATTTCCTTCCACCGATTTTTCTTATAGTCATTTTTTAAAGACAAAAAAAAAGGGGGGGGGGTGTTAAAAGTGTTTATCATAGCTCGGTTATTAATTGAGTTTAAACATGTAAGAATTTCAATTTTTGCTAGTTGATAAAATTAAATTTACTTAATAAGTTTTATTGATATTATTCGTTTTAATGAGTTAATGTTTTTAGGATGATAATAATGGTGTCATCAATACAAATCAAATAAAACAATATGAAATTAATTATCAAAAAACTTTAACTGATTTAACTATTCTTAAAAAGAATATTGTTAATATTGAAAGTCGTCTAAATGAAGTTATGCGAGAGGTAAGATAATAGAATAGCTTGTTTTATTATTGTTGTTATTCTTAGAAATGTGATCTTTTGTATGATTCTGATAATTAGCATGTGACTACATCATTTTCTCTATGTTCTCCTTGATCTTCTCAATCTATGACATGTGTGTGTCTGTCTTTTCATAGAAAGTATTCTTCTATATACATATCTCTATACATAGAAAGGAACGTTTGAAGTCTTCAGTCAGTGTCCGTCATGTACATATTTCCCTTTTTCCAGACGATATGTTTGTCAATCTTTCTTTTGGCTACATACAAATCTTTGACTAATAACAAGTTCTCTCATCACAAACCAAAAAAGGAAAAATGATTATTATTTATTTTGCGCACGTAGAAAGTATTATTAATAGATTATGCAGTGAAACATTATCATGTAACAGTGGTGCTGTTACATTAGATGATGATAGCTATTATTATCTATTCTATTGAGTGTCATATCTATATAACTGCAGATAAACACTTGTTTACATAGTACTTTTGTTTTTTCAGCTGGATATTGAACAAGCATTAATTGAAGGAGAACATGAGTTGGTATTCAAACAAATTTTAAATGCAAGTGAAAGTGATCAACAAAAGATACGACAATTAAATAAAAATTTACAACTATTGATTGAACGAATAATGGCAGAAAAAAATTCTGTAAGAAGAAAAAAAAAAAATTTATTTATTGTTTGTCATGAATTTTTTGAATATTTAGATGCGAAAAGAAATTGATTATACTCATCAAAATCTTTTACTATTTGAACATGAATTAAAGATACTTGAGCGACAATGTCGACCGTCTGATGAAAAAATTCTTAAGTAAGTTTAATTTTCTATTATAATAAAGTTTTTTGAATGATATAATTTAGAAAAAAAGAAATGATTGCTGTAACTCGTAAAAAAATTGAAGATCTTGAATTTCAATTTATGGAATTAGAAACACGTTGTGAATCTGAACTTGAAAAAGCTGAAGAACATTTTCAAACAGAACAAAAACTTGTTACACAAAATGCTCAAATGCGACAAGTAAACAATCATTTTCTTTTTTTCTTCTAAATGTTTTTTTTTCGTACAGAATACTTTACGTGATCTTGATCATCAACAATATATAGCTTTACATCAAGCATTAATGGAAAAAGAAAAACTTGAACGAGAAAAACAAAAACTCAAATTATTTTTTAAACAGAAAAAATTAGAAGCTAATGAATTAGAAAAAAGAATTTATGGTAAAACTTTTTTTTTTTCTATTCCGTTGTTGTTGTTGTTCTAATTACAAGCTTGTTTATCATTTTAGATACATGGTCAAATATTAATGGTACTAGTCGTACTGTATATCAGTCACTTCCAATATATCGTTATGGTTCATTGAATCATCCAGATGGACTTTCATCACCAAAGTAATTTTATTTTGTTTAAAATTCTCAAAAGAAAATTTTTCATTTTTTTATCAGAATGGAAAAAAAAGATAATCATCAGGGAAATTCAAATGAAATAAAAGATATGATGACTAATGTTAAACTAGAAAAAGTAACGATTCCTAAACAACAAGTAAAACATAAAAGAATAATTAAACGATCTTATTTTTTTCTATATAAATTTTAGTTACCTGAAAATCATAACGAAACTATAAAACGAATTGGACTTGAAGAAAAATTAGCTGATAATATTCAAAAAATTGATTATCAAGTTAAATTACGTGAAAAAAATCGATTACAAGTAGAAATTCATTTGTTTTCAATCTTTTCATATCTTTTTTTTGTTTCCTCTTAGGAACGTCCATTGACACGTTATTTACCAGTACGTTCAGTTGACTTTGATCTTCGTGCACATATTGAAGGTGCTGGTCATTTATTAAATTCTCCTCATATATCTCTAACATCAACATCATGTCGTGGTTATCTTCATAAAATGGGTGGAACGAAATTTAAAACATGGAATCGTCGTTGGTTTGTATTTGATCGTCAACGTCGTTCAGTATTTTATTATCAAGATAGAAATGAAACAAAATTACGTGGTCGTATTTATTTTCAATCTATTGTTGAAGTTTATGTTGATCATTTACAATCAATGTCATTGAGATCACCTGAACCACGTGAAGCAACATTTATTGTTAAAACAATTGAACGACCTTATTATTTAGTTGCACCAACTGTTGAATTAATGCGTTTATGGGTTGACGTTATTATAACTGGTGCTGAAGGAAATACATTTGCTGGTGTTTAATGCTGAAGTCATTCCGTTTTCGTGTGTATGATATGTAATGAACTGTTTCTTTTGTATCATATAAGAAGATATGATCAATAATATGAAGTTTGAACTTTTATGTCAAAACATCAAAGACAGAATATCTATGTTTCAATTATTCTTTTTTTTTTTTTTTTTATACATTTTGTCTTTTGTTTAAGAAATTTTCTTATTGATATCAATTTAATAACATGACTGAGATGACAGATATAATACAAATGTCATATGCATCGTCTGGTTTTGTTATGTTAGTTGATTGTTTGACATTTTTCCATGAATATTCATGATCTTTTATGATTGACAACAGACAGAAGACTTTGACTGAAGATAAGCGAAATTCCAAATAGATATATGTCATTCGATTCTGTTTTTTTTTGCGTTATGATTGTATCTAAAGGAAAAGAAGCAATCTAATTCTCTTTGTAAGAAAAAAGAAGAATTTTAGCTTAATTAACAGTATTTATTTTACAACAATTGAAAAGACGAATATTTTTGTATAATTTATGTAAAAACTTCCGATTTGATAATAGTTTACTTTTATTTGTTTGATCATGCGTTAATATTACTTTTTTTCTTCATATAAAAACATTGACCAAAAGTTTTTATATTTGTAAAAGTTTCTCAAACAACATTTTTTGTTTATCTACTATTTGTTTTATCAGACCGAGGAGCAAAATATTCATTTATAGATTGTTAGTAATCTCTTAATCAATTTGTTGAATGTATTCTATTTCCTACTTTGACGTTCGACCTTTTCAAAAACATGATGTATTGATTCAATATTAGAGAATAGCTCGAAGATGATTGACATCACAAGAAAATAAACAAATTGATTTGTTGTTCTACATTGGATTGATTTTGTTTGTAGAAGAACTATGAATAAATAGGAATATGTTTTTGATTTCATAACATTACTTTTTGTTATTATATGTTCATAGAAAAACATATAAATGTCGAAAGAAATTGATCTTTTCTTATAGAATTGAGAGCACAACATTAGTAATTAGCTACAAGAATACGTAAAAAAAAAAGATATGAATTTGAGACTATTTTTTATATAACAAAACTGATTAGTGTCTCATTAGTATAAATAAATACTATAGAAATCTCGTTTTTAGATTCATAAATTCATTTTCATATCTTTTCTTTTGATTGACACATTTCGCTTTTACTCGACACACCAAATTGTTCGTTAATGTGCCTTGATGAATGATTATATATACAATATATGAGTATGATTGTCATGCAGACAAGTAAAAATACTATCAACTAAAGAATCACAACCATTATATACATGTTTAGTTCAATGAAGGACAGAAAGATATGATCAATGTTTAATATGACAACTAATGATGCATAACTCTATCGAGAAAAAAAAAAAAGGAGGTGTAGTTAATTTGAAATTTAAATGTTCACATACCATATTCGTTGTTATCAATAGATGATGGTAGAGTTTCTGCTAAATCAAACTTTCCGATCATTATTCTATTATTAGATCTTATTGAAAAAAAAAGGTGGATTTTAAACTGTTGTTACAATTCGATCATGTTTATTTAAATAGAAAATTATGTTTATTATACATGTCATTTCATATCGAAATTTGATTGATTTTGAGTGATAATTATATATGGCTGTTCATTGAAGAAATGAATAATACTTAATTGAGAACTAAAGTATCTCTAAGTATCCTACATTAATCTGACAACAGCTATGATTAATATGATAGTTGAAAATGCATCTTAAAACAGAAAAATACATTGATCAACGATAACCATTAGTATTATTGTTTAGAGCACCATTTTTTTTTTGAATGTTTCCATACTACATTTACACCTAGTGAAAAAAGTGTCTTGATACTCTTGTTAGATAGTCACTATAACAATATATATTTGATAAATCAGATGATACTATTTATTATTATTAAGTGGACCACATTTGAATGTATCTCTAGAAATTGTGGTTGAGATTGATATACTCTATTTATTCTTTGTTTTCTTTTAATTGTTTTTTTTTTGTTTGTTGCTATACAATAGCTAAGATGACCACCTAAAATTAAGTTATCAAGAACAAGTGCATATTCTGCATTCACTAGTTTGTTTCATACGAAAGTACCGTAAATGTGAAGAACCATATTATTATATTCCAGCTACTTGATGAGAAATTTATTCAATTTCTAATTCTCGCTACACTTCATACTAAAATGACAACTCGTCGAAATCTAAAAATATTACAAAACCACTGAGATAATATTCTAATTCAAAAAAGTATTGTTCTTTTACTTCATGTATTTTTATTCAAAAAATTAGTTTTCTTTCAAAAAAAAATTATGATTGCTTTTCCCCACATTCCATTATTATCTTTGTGTATCCTCGTTGTTCATATGTTAATTTAATGTACTAATGCTCATTCAGAGAAAAAACAGCGGGTGGGTATTGTTCGAATAACTTTTGATAGAAACAAGATAGAGAGCTGCGATTTTCACCGTTGGAAAGAAGAGATAAAGACGCATTGAATCATATAATATGGTTGTTTTCAGATGGTTTTTAAAGTTTTCTTAATCAATTTTCTAGAAAAAAATGCCGAAAAATTAAGTTCCTATTTGATGGTAAAAACGTAAAAAAAAGGCATTTTTTCATAGAAATTAATAGAAAAACCCACGTAAAAATTTTTGATTAAAAATCGATTAAAATGGCACGATTTTAATCAGATTTTAATCGGATTTTTTAGGCTTAAAGACGGATTTTATTTGATTTTAATCTTTTTTTAATCTATTTTAATCGATTAATAAACCTAAATCTATTAAAATCGATTTTGATAATTAGTTTTAACTGATTCAAGCTGATTAATCGATTAAAATAGATTAAAAAAGATTAAAAACAAATAAAATCCGTCTTCAAGCCTAAAAAATCCTATTAAAATCATGCCATTTTAATCGATTTTTAATCAAATTTTTAATCAAAAATTTTTACATGGGAATCGATTAAGACTTTCTACTACGATACTTATAACTTCTGAATGAATAGAGCTAAAAGTCTCAGCCTTGCGTATAATCTGTGAATATTCTGTTAACGACCCAAATGCACACGAAATTATTGAAAAATCATTTTAGTCGCCTTACAGAATATGTTCGTTTCCAAAAACATCGCTTAAAGTCGTTGAAAAAAACTATGCCAAATTATCTTATAAAATACAGTTCGATGCGCTTTCATCTTCTCTTTCCAACGGTGAAAATCACAGCTCTCTATCTTGTTCCTATCAAAAGTTATTCAAAAAAAAATACCCACCCGCCTCTTTTTTTCTGAATGGGTATTAATTCAACTTATGAATTGAAATGTTTCATGATAATAGAAAGTATACGTTGCATGTAATATAGAGGTTAATGAGAGTAGATAAATAAAGCTGACTGCGACAAGAAATTGGTGTCAATAAAACAACTTACGCTAAAAGTATGCTCGTAATACTAGACATCGTTTCTCAATAGAAACGGCTTTAAACAGGCCGTTTAATTTTCAATGAGAAGTATTCTTTATTCTGAAATGACAGATTATCACCTAAAAAGTAATTCAAAATGATAAGAAGACTCACTGTTCATGACTGAAATCGGACCATCTTATAAATATTTCTTACGGTTACAATGATTGTGTTGAATATCTGACAATGTCTTGAAATTATACGATTGAAGCTGGAAAAGCTAATGTAGGTAATCTTTATATGGCAAATGATAAAGACAAGCTTCAATTCTTGTACATGTAAGTTGAATAATAATAGATATTTGATAAAAGAAACTAACACAGCAAAATGGAATTAGAATGATGTTCACGAATACAACAAATGAGAATAAAAAACGAAATTGAACTTTATTTGATTCAAACTTTCGATCGACATTTATATGAGTATTCATTATGTTATACTTAAAAAGTGTGTATACAAATATCAGAATTAAATTTTATTTCTATGATTATTTTTAGTTTAAAATCGTAAGATTACGAATAAAAACTACTATTTTAGGTATATTTGCTGAGTAATTATATTTGGTGTGTCAAATTAATCCTGTACTCCTGATTTTCCACTGATTTAGATATTGAAAACCACATCATTGAACGACACTTGAACTATGGGAATCATAACTAAATCTATGTTATATGTATAAAACTTCATAGACTCGACGTTACTTAAAAGAAGGATAATTTGTTTGTTACATTGTACTATTTGTAAAAAGCATATGCAATATCAAGAAGTTTAGAAAAATAAAATTTTCCTTCCAAGTGTTTTCTGTTTAGTGGCAAAATACTTCTCGAAATGTATACTAATGATTTCTGTGCGTTTCAAAAATTTCTCAATAGTTTGACAGATATGAGATGCTAAGAGATTAAATGAGTTTCGTAAATCTTGTCATACTAGATGTTGAAAAAAAGTATTTATCGAATGCTTTTATTGATTAAAAAGATGTTTTCGACAAAATGAATACTGTTTCATGTACATATACCATTAAGAATATTTTTCATGTCTTCTTCGTTTCTTTTATTATAGTAGTCAAATGACAAAAAAAACAGACGATAATATTTTTATGTATTCAAAGCTATCCTTATAGAGAGGGAAGTTCGAATTTTCAAAGCATTCTACTTTCTCCTATGTTCCGATAATCATTGAATTTGTTATGGTTTGCATGTTCTTTAGATACAATCATAAGCATGTTTTCCTGTTATTTCAATGATTATACGTATATACTGATGTTCTAATTCTTTTTTTTTCTCTTAATGTTGCCGATACGTCATGAAGTTTTTCTTTCCTTCTAATCTTTCTCTTTCAACTTGGTTTCTGAAACTTCCTTCCTTACTCACCATCTATAGTATTTTCCAGAGTATAGATTTTCTTCTTTTTTTTTTTTGTCTTCATGATTTATGAGATTTTTCATCATATGAATTTCTCTCTTCTCTTATCGCCCTATATATACTTGTTACATTACTGTGAAGACAGAAATAAATATACAGATATAGAATATAAGTGAGATGAAGATTTCATAGAACCGAACAAACTATTCCAGATACAAGGTAATATGTTTACTTGTTGTATCGATACCATTAACATGCAGATGTGTTCAATATTTCTGTTATCAGTAATTGTTCTAGAAACTGTTCAGTTAATCTACAATTTTCAATGTTGATTTCATGTTTCCAAGTCTTATTTTGCATTATTAATTTTCATTTTCTTGCCTATTCAATAAACTAAACATTATATAGGATTTTAGGTTACTATGTACTCTTTTTGATAATTGTAAACTGTAATTGTTTTATAACATCTAAAATATAAATATAGTTCAAAAAAGGAAATTAATAAAATCAGGAACATCACGCGTTTATCATGCGTCATGAAATGACTCATTTTGAAAACAGAAGAGTATTTCTATATTTATCCTTTTTATAATACAAAAATAGTCAAGTGACAAACGTTATTTTAATATATTATTCACACACTTATTCATTTTTGATAAGAGTATCGTAGTATACACGGAAGTGATGCTTAAGAATTTCTAAAATTTACCATTAGTGTATATTTTGTCGCATAATGTAAAAAATTCTTTTCATCTATATTAGTTACTGAAATAATTTGTGTTTCTTTTCTGTCATATAGTCAACATATTTTATATTCATTACATTAGATAGTCAATATATTAAAAAGTTTTTCAAGTAGTTACTTATTTTATTCTTCAAAATAATTACATATATAATTAGAAAAGTCAGAGTTGAAAATTAACAAGTATGTAATATAGATTTTTAGGTAAAATATCAATAATATTAGATGAAAAGATTATCAAGGACTATTTTGAAAAATACTTCATTAAATATGTTATCGTGACTCTTATATGTAATCAATATGAAAAGAGTTTCTTATAGATATGCTTTTATTATTTACAAAGAAAAGAAATATTCTACTTTATATCAAGATGTCATTGTAAATACTTGTGTTAATTAAATTTGTTTCTTCGTTTGTAGAATTGTGAAAATAATGCGATGGACTCTTTGAATCATGTCCTTAGTTGATGAATATGCGCCTATTCACTACTTTATTCTTAAGTGTTTTTCTTTTCTTCTATGATTTATTTTCATAATAAAAATGGCATCAATAAAAAAAAGCAATCAATATGATTAAATACTAAAAGCTTTATATAGCTGACAGTTTATAAATCATATATGTAGTGGAATTTTCTTGAAGTACAATGATTATTGATGTTAAAAAATAAAAGAAAAGAAAACCATGAATATGATGATGAAAAATGATTTCTTTTTTTTTAACATAAAACTGTTATGTTTAGATATATAAAAAGAATATTTTCATAAAATTGACTCACAGAATGAAAGAAAAAAAAAAAGATATTGACTCTATTTTGCGTAAATTTCTTCAAGCGTACAATAGAGAAAATTAAATGTGAAGATAAGTATTAATTTATCATACACAACAAAATAGATTATTATTATTAAATTTCATTTCAACGAATTAGAAAAAAAAAAGAATCTGGTGGTAGAATTAATTAATACTAATCTGACAAATATTTACATGTCTAACATAAGTATCGTTAATAGGACATTTTGTCATTATTATTTGAGTAAGTATCTAAGCGTGACATGCAATGCTTATTCTTTTTTTTTGTTTTCTTCATCTTCTTTTTATTTAAAGAATGACAATTTTCATTCCTGTTTTTTTTTTGCTTCTATTGAAGATGGGTCTGAATTCAACAAAATCTTCATTAACAAATAATAAATATTCATTAACATTTTCATCAACAAATAATTTTTATCGTGGTCTTTCAACAATACAAGGTAATTTTCATATTAATAGTCGTACAAAATTACGTATTGAAAAAAAAATTCATATTGATTTAATTGGTCAATTAATTGAAAATAAAAAAACTTTATTAAATTCAACAAAAAGATCTTCACAATTAAAAAATAATAAGATCTTTTTTACATATTCATTTCCACTTGTTACATCACATGAAAATGGTATTGCAAGAATAATTAAAAATCGACAAACTAATTTTTCATTTCGTATTCCACTTGGTAGCAATTTACCACCATCATGTGAATTTACAGAATTTTCTATTGTTTATTATCTTGATATTTATCATGATGAAAGATTATTACCAGATATTCGAAAAACAATCATATTAGCACCACCGGCACCTCTTATTACTATTCCATTACCTTGTAAAGTAACAGGTAAGAAAATCTCTAATATGATACTCATATTTATCCTCTATAGATAATGTTTCAATTGAATGTAATTGAATCTAAGCAAAAAAGAAAAATATTAGTATAATCCTTGTAGGATATAAATATGATCTACAGCGAGACCGGTGACATTATAAAATAGGAAATTTATCAACGTAGATTTCAGTTTGTGGATTAGTATCTATTATTAATGAATGTTCATGATAAACAATGATAATCAGTTTTATATTACGGTCAATGTAAAAGAAGAACAAAATGACATGTATATTAAATTCAGATGTATTTTATACTAATCCTACTGTAGACTTCGACCTAGTGTAAATGCCTGTAAGCATTCATAAGAAGAAAGTAGCAACACTAAACTGTTTGTCATAGTCTGTAGCAAAAGAGAGACGTCTGTCAAGGTCCGTGATGAAGAAAAGACGACGTTGTTAACAGATGTGTTACGATCGATGTGAGAAATTAGGCGCAAATTTTTCTCATCGTATTTCAACACTTCTTTCAGATCGTGTTTCATAAAAAGCAAATGATATAATAAAATAGATATAGATGATGCATTTGTTTTTGCAACACTTACAATTTCTAATTTCAAGAGAAAAGAATCAATAATAGTATGAAATCATTCAATATCTAATGAGACAAACATGAGTGCCGATGTGGAAGGTGTTGAAGTGAGCTAGACTACCCTCCTCGCCACGTCGGTAAAAATTTCGCATGACAGATCATTCAAATTATTTTAATGTCTTATCTTTTGTTTTTTTTTTCATGAAAATTTCATTGGAATTAGGTTCACAATTATTTTTCTTTTATTTTTGAATTAGGTTGTAATGATATAAACATGATTTGTAGTTTACAAAAATCATATTATTCTGGACGAGATGGTTCTATTGTTTTATTATCAATTTTAATAACAAATCCAAAACAAAAACAAATTCAATTAGTAGTAGCACAATTAATGCAAATTGTTTCATTAAATGAAATAAAATTTGAAAATGAAATTTTTACAAATCAACTTAATGAAATAAATGAAAATACACAAGAAAATCAAATAGATCAAACATGTGAATTAAATTTACCATCAAATTTACCACCAACATATATTCCAAATGAAAATGGTCAACCAGATAATGTTCCATGTATGGCTATTATATATGAATTACGTATAACAGCTCAAATGAAAGGTACAACCACTTCTAATCTACGTTTATCTGTACCTATTGGTATTGAATAAATAAAAAATTGCTTTTTATTATTATATTGTTTTCCTCTTTGTATAATAAATTCATTTGTTTCAAAAGTTGAATGTATAAAGAAAAAATACTTTGTTGATTATTTTCTATGAATTATATTTTTATTGATCGATGTTGTTGGTTGAATAGAAACAGAATAGTGAGTTCGTTTGGTAGTTTTTGATGAAGGAACAATTGAATGAGATGATGCATTTACATTGATTTGATTCACTATTGATTTGACACGATTTCTACCAACAGAAGATTGAGGATCTAATTAAATAAAATCAACATAAATTTATTTAGTTTTTCTATATTTAAAATCTCCTTTTTCTTTTCTTGTATAAATTATTCATCAAGAAATATATAAAAATTAGAATTTATTTTACTTGTTCTATTTTGAGATTCATTTAGTTGACTACTATTTATTGATGATTGTTTTTTTGTAGTAAATGATGACTGAAATAGAATATTATTTCTTTTTGATATTAAATAGTCTACTGTTTGTATATACCTGAGATTGAATTTTTGTTGGTTTTCGTATTGATGTGTTTGTATTATTATTAACAATCTTTGAAGATAATGGTTTTAATTTAGTTGAGGAAACGATAATATTTGAAGGTTGTTTTAAATAAGGAATATTCGTTTTTATTGTTGTTGGACGTTTTTGTATTTGTAAAATTGATTTGTTATTATTTGTTAAGTGTATAGAAGGAGTATTAATTTTGTTATGACTATCGAAAAGAGTAGATGAAGTAGTACTACTTGATGATGTTGTACTACTAGATGATGTATTCTTAATTAAACAATTCGAAGATGTTTCAATCGAAGGTAAACTAAGAATAAGAAAAAATTACATATGAAAATAATTATATAGAAAAATATTTACTTTTCATTTTGTGATGAAATTAAATGTGAATTAAAATATGATGGAAGTTTTGATTCATTTATTGTTATTGTATGTTGAGTAGAAGTACAATTTGTTGGTATTTCTTGATATTGTTTTTTACGTGCTAAATTAAATTGTTCTTCAGTTGTATTTTCTTCAATGATAACAACATGTTGATTATTTAATGATGAATTATTTTCATTATGATCTGTACTTTGATAAAATGTTTCTATTGTATATGTTGTTTCTTCTTCTTGTAGAGAATTTTCTAATTGATATTTTTCATGTATTATAAATGAATCTGTTGATGATGATTGTAGGGATTGATCTGAAATTTCTTTTACATCACAAGTAAATATTGATGGTTTAACATTAACATCAGAATTAGTTGTACTAACATCGACTTTTGATGATAATGAATGATTTTTATGAATAATAGTTGGAGATTCTATTTTAGTCATTGATAAAGAACCATTAAGATCATTCAACTTTTTAATAATAGTATCAATAGACTCTAATTTTTCATTATTTTCAAAAATAGCTAATACAGGTTCTAATTTTGATGATAATGAAAATGTATTTAATTCAACAGGTTTGATAAATTTAGATTTCGAAGGAATGATAGTTGAAAAATTTTTGTTTTGTTCAATTCGTCTTATTGGTTTTAAAGATGGAGGAAATTTTTCATTTATTGACGAAGATGATGATGATGATGATGATGGCAAACAGAATGTAACATTAGTTGGTTTTTTTCTTTCATTATTTGATAAATTCTTAATATCACGTGCTACTAAATTAGCATATTTTGAAATCGATCGTTTTGGATTTAAATAAGCTTGTTCTAAACATTCTTTTGCTTGTTGAAGTGCAATTACTGTTAATTTATATTCTGTATTAAGACGACGAACACATTGATTCCATGTTAACATTGATGATGATGATGACGGTAGTGGTTGTATTATAGAGGATATAGATCGAAAGTATGGTTCATTTAATGAAGGTTTTATTTCACGATAAGCATGGGGTCGATAATTATACAACGAAATAGGCAATTGATCATATGATAAAGTTTCATTACAAGGAGTCAAATAATTATAGGGTGAATAAAGGCGATTCGAACATGTCGAATTTTGACTTAATGTTGATGGAGATGACCCTGGACGTAAGTCTAGAATTAAGAGAAAGAAAAAGAATAATGATGACTAATGTGCACGCTACACTTAAAGAAAGGTAGGTGTAAACTCAATAACTCAACAACGACAATAGCTATTAACTTGTAATTTTTATCAATCGAAAAACTAAAACTCTTGACGTCTTTCTGTCTGATAGAATATAATTTTTAAAAAAAATCATTTTAAGAACCATCGTTTTTTGCAAAATATTAACAAACGCATAAAAATGATATTCTATTTCTAGTAAACTTAGTAAATATCAACAGAATTCTATATAACTGAACCCGCACAAATAGGTAACGCTGTTGCTTCAACATTGACATATGAGAATATCATTATTTCAAGTTCCTTGATCTGAAGTATATGTCTCTATCAAAATTTTCTTGAAATACAACATCATTTCCATGTATTTTCTTGAAAGTTTTGCGAAAACGATCGTTTGCAAAATAATTTTTGTCGTATATAGTATTGCACTCAAAGTCGTCAGAAGTCTACTCTTTTAATTGTTGAATAACTATAGATTAATTGCAACGTCAGTATGGAACTGTTGAGCGTACACTCATTCCTCCTTAATTATGACGCGAATATTTAGTTGTTTTTCTCTACAAGACTGAAATAAATTTCTGTTTTTTGTTTTTTCTTACCATATTTATTGATAGATGTGAAATAATATTGATTTCGTTTATTTAATATATCATTATAATATTGTTTAGGTATTAATAATGATGGTTTTATATAGTGTTTATATTTATTATTTGGAAAATAATTTGATGATAATTTATAATCACTTCGATTATTATAAATAATATCATGACTAATCATATCTTTAGGATTGACTTTATCAACTCTAATCATGTTTGATGTTGAAAAATGAGTTTTAGGAGTTATTGGATTTAATGATGCATCATTTTTGCGAGTGTTTTCATTAATAACAGTGGAATTAATACAAGAAGAAAGATTATTATTAACGGTAGTATGCGGTTGATTAGATGATGATGATTGGTCATTAGTATTACTACTATCATGATGTTTATGTTCTGACCAGCGAAAAAATGCTCGTGCTTTTTCAATTGCAGTATGAGACAATACTGAATGAGGTAATTTCTTTAAAAATTCTATTAAGAAAAACAAAATTTAATATTGTGAGAAAACTTTATTAATTGAACATACCAAATTTAAACTTGAATCGACTTTCAGTTTTTGTAGAATTCTTATTTTTTTTCATATTAGATTGTCTATCTTCAAATTGCAGTTGTTCAATCCTGTTATGATCACCCATGTCAATGAGCCAATTTTATTTTATTCATTGAACATAAATACATACCGATTCATATATAAATCTTTTTACTTTCATTTAATGAGTAATAAATGGTTGAATGAATACGAATATGGTTTAATAATATACCAAATATGAAATAGTAAGCGCGAAATCGGACCATATATAAATAGACATATGCATGTGATTTGATCAACAATAACTACACTCATATATTCGTTTTCTCAATATGTCTTTACAAATAAGAATGTGAATGAATGAATGAATGAATGAGACGACGATTGTTGACAAGAGCTTTTTCTCATCAATGTCAATAGGTGAGAATTGAGTGTTCAATTATACCACTTTTCAATAAGTGAATTACATGAATTCTTATGTAAGCATATTATTTCTTTACTAAAATAATTTCCAATATTTTATAACGAGTTCTAATTATTGTGGTGCACATATACTTGTACATAGACATGTATATAGGAGAAGAAAAAAAAGTAATTAACAAAGAAGCATCGACATCATATATCAATACAATAGGTATCAAATGTCTGTACGGTTCATTTTTCTTATTTGTTTGATTTGGAGTATGATATGAAGAAGAAAAAAAAAAGTAGGAGGAGATGTTCAAAATTTCTAAGTGATACGTATGACTATTTTCATGAATATAAGGATAGGAGTTATATCGACCTATTCATTAGTTGATGCGTATCTTCTAATTAATGTTCTCATCATTTGATTTGTATCAATTTACTGTACTAATTGAAGAACAATCCATGAACAAAAATAATAGATGGAATCAAGTCACCAGTCTTTTTTTTGTATTTTTGATTGTTTATGAAATTAGAGAATTTGTTTTCTGTAGCATAAAATAAGTGTATTTCGTTATAAATACTGTATTAAAACGTTTGTCTAAAATGAAAAATTCTAGAGAGAGATGATTTCGATTTCAGATAAATGTATTCACTGTTATCATTCTTTTTCTTTTCTCTTCATCTTCCAGGTAAAGCCACATGCAATAAATACTTAGTCATATGCATATAGTCATTTCTGTGCTTACATATCTATATATATAGACGATTCGTATTGTACCACATTCTTTCATTCATATTTTTCTTTGAAAAATTTGTCCTACATTTATTTTAAATAACATTCATGTCAATATACAAACTTTTCTATTTTAATATTCGTGCTCGTGCAGAAATTTCTCGTTTAATATTTGCTGCTGCTGGTCAAAAATTTCAAGATGTTCGTTATGATCGAAATCAATGGTCATTACACAAAAATGAAATGCCTTTAGGTCAAATACCTGTTCTTGAATATAATGGAACAAAATTACCACAATCATTATCAATTGCTCGTTTTCTTGCTAAACAATTTCAATTAGCTGGTAAAGATAATTTTGAACAAGCTAAAGTTGATGCTGTAGTTGATACAATGACTGATATAATGATGATATTTATGCCAATTCGTCGACAAGAAGATGAAATGAAGAAGAAAGAACTTATGGAAAATTTTTTTATTGATCAATTACCAAAACGTTTAAAAAATCTTGAAATATTAGCTAAATTATATGGTAATGGTGGTTCATTCTTTGTTGGTAATCATTTAACATGGGCAGATTTATATGTCTATGATATAACAGAAACTTTGCTTTATGCCGATGGAAATTGTTTAAACAATTATTCATGGTTAAAAAAGAATCGTGCTGAAGTCGAAAAGCAACCAAAAATTGCAGAATATCTCAAGAATCGGCCAAAATCGACATTTTGAAAAAAAGAAAACAACAACAACAATAAAATATTCATAGATTTTTTTCTTAAATATATTATTAAAACAAAATTTCATTTGATATTTTTTCTTTGTATACTTATGAGTCTTGTTGACTATCAAATATATTAGAAACCATTTTAGATTAATATTTGCATATTTTTTAAGAAAGTTTTAAAATGCATTAAATTTTTCATAACGAAAAACAGACGTCCATGAATATACTAAATTTATCAATAATGAAATTTCGAATTATTTAAATGAAAATTTTGTTCATTTAATAAATAACGATTTTTCGTTTAAATAGTATAACATAATTAGATTGTTCTGAAATTGTCGGATATAATGAATTATTCTTAAACATAGAAGTTAAACAAATTTATCTTTTAATTATGAATTCTTTTTAGTGCATATATCTTTCTTCAGGTGTCTATGTGAATGAACAAAGAATGAAATTGAATAGAAGCTAAGATATATGTGTGACTGTTGACTTGATTATTTCTATTGAAATATTCGCAGTTGCATTGACGTCTTGTTCAATGTTTTTGTCATCAGTAGTGTTATTTTTTCGAGATTTTCACTGTCGAAGGGGTGATTTAAAACTTCGAGAGATTCAACTTGATCTTTGGAAAAATGTCATCCCCTCAGTTCCACACTAGATAAAAAAAAACACTGGTCACTAGTAGAACCGATCTGGTTTTAAAGTTTTGAATTTGCACCCATATGAGCCTACCTTGACGAACTGTAGTCAACAGATTCTTTCTTTTGTAAATGACTAAACCTATAGAAAAATTAGATGTCAAGTGCGTTTCATAATTATCTTATCAATGTTAATAAACAAAAAAGAACACCAATAAGATACAACTCTTTTTTATCTTCTAGGTGTTTTACATCTATATATTCTAGCAATCTTGGACTTTAGGTTTGATATTCACGTCTATGAACTTTATTCTCATGATTATAATCAGTTTATTCTTTTTTGTTGACATATGAAGTGTTAAATAAAGATTAATGAAGAGAAGAAATTATGTTGTTTGAAGTTTTCAGAAAATAACTACTAATCACAAGATTTATTTATGTATGTATTTCATATTAAAACTCAGCTGTTTGGTTTTTTTCGTAATCGCGACACACAGCCTTTATGTTGTCATCATTTGGTTATTATCAATCTATTTGTACTAATCAAAAAATGACAGTGTGTATGTAGCTGATAGATTGAATTGATTCATCAGTTTTCTCTTTTGCATTTTCGACAGAGAGTGAAATTCAAGCAATCAACTATTGCAAGATAAACCATATAAAAATTTTGTTTTATTTACAAACACATTATATTATATTGTTCGAGTTTATCAAGTACATTTTTACTGACAGCAAACATGTAATGTAACCAGGTCTTTCTTTTGCTTTCCTTCAAAGCCTCTGTCAATGATGACGGATCAGAAAAAAAAAACAGAAAAGGTTACCTGTACACATGATTTCTTTTCTCTTATATAGATATAGATATCAACTCATGTGAAATAAGATGCAGCTTAACAAAAGACAAATACATACGAAAACGTTTTTTTTCTGATAAATCATCTAAACATTTATAAACCTTGAATGTTTTATTTAAAATTAAAAAAAAAACAGCTAACAAATTCAAAATATCTCAAGAATCTATCACAAACTGTATAATAATTGAAACATTTATCAATCACATTGTTCTGACAAGTTTTTTAAAGATGTATTATAGAAAAAAAGGTTCTTAGTTTTGCTTTTACATGTAGATATTACCAGACAAAAAAAAGAAGTTAGAGATTTCAAAGTTTTGACTCTGATTCTACACTTCATCATGTCAATTTTGACTTTTTTCGAAGGTGTCTATATTTTACGAAAAGAAAAACTCGTGCTAAAAATTGAGATAAACTGAAATACATTTGTAGTACAAGAAATTGTCATGAAAGAGCAGAACGTTTATATCGTTCTTTTCTTTATTGAACAAAAAAAATCTCAGTACTCAATTGATTAAAACATTCATCTATTTCTAATCAGTTACCATGACTCAAGCAAGCAAGTTAATTAATACAATGAAGATTATTACTTTTGATGTTGATTAATCAATTGTACTGACTATTGAAATTTATATTAACTAGAAACAATTCATAATGCATGCTAATATTCTGATCAATTCGACCTTTGTTAAAAATTGAAAGTTTATCTCATTTGTCAAATGAATCGTTTAATACTCGTTTTTATCAAATAACAAACAAAAAAACCTTCTATGGACACGAGTGTAGACGTGTTTTTTTGCCCGAGATATAAATATGCCTTATCATCAGTCTTTTCTTTCTCCTTTCCTCTAGGCATTTGCATACGATGACAAAGCAAAAAAAAAGAAAATTAACCACGTATGTATGTGCCGTACTTTCTCTTCTCTCATATAAATAGCCTTCATCATACCACACTTGCTCACTTTCTTCTTTCTTTCATAGGCGAAGTAACAAATAACCATTAACAATGTCGACATATAAACTTTATTATTTTAATGGACGTGGTCGTGGTGAAGTTGCTCGTTTAATATTTGCTGCTGCTGGTCAAAAATATGAAGATATTCGTTACGAAAGTAGTGAATGGCCATCACATAAAAGTGAAATGCCTTTAGGTCAAATGCCTGTTCTTGAATATAATGGAACAAAATTACCACAATCATTATCAATTGCTCGTTTTCTTGCTAAACAATTTCAATTAGCTGGTAGAGATAATTTTGAACAAGCTAAAGTCGATGCTGTAGCTGATACAATTGCTGATTTATTATCAAAGTATGTAGCGGTTCGTTTTGAACCAGATGAAGCTAAAAAACAAGAACTTACGAAAAAATTCACTACGGAAGAATTACCAAAACACTTACAAAACCTTGAAGTATTAGGTAAATTATATGGTAATGGTGGTTCATTCTTTGTTGCTAATCATTTAACATGGGTAGATTTATTTTTTTATGACGTGGGTCATAATATACTTCAATTAGATGCAAAATCTTTGGATAATCATCCATTGTTAAAACAGATTCGTGCTGAAGTCGAAAAACAACCAAGAATTGCAGAATATCTCAAAAATCGACCAGAAACACCATTTTAAAGAGCAAATTTTATTAATATTAAGACATTAACTTTTTATTGTTATTCGTCTAAGATATTTTAAATAAATTATTCAAATAAAATTTAACTGAATTTCTTTTCTTTTGCACAAGACATTTACTAACTATT